TTAGAGGGTGATGGAATGTTCTGGAATTAGATGACGGTGATGTTTGCACAACCTTGTGAATTTGCTAAAAACCACCGAAATAGACCCTTGAAGATAGTGAATTTTATTTAAGTGATAGATCTCAACAACGATAAGTGGTTGTGGAAGTAAAAGAGGTAGCACGCGCAGACCGTGAGAGGGCAGGCTCGTCCCACATGCGTGGCTCTGTGTCCAGCTCTGGACCACTGTGAGGCACCTAATGGGCTGGCCCCCCGGGAAAGGGACGTGGTGGAGAGCAGGCCAGACCTCCTGGCAGAGAGATCTTCCAGGGGCTGCAGCTGCAACGCTGCAGACCGCAGCCTGCGTGAGACTGAGCGTCCCCTGTGGATGCGGCTCGTTGTCACTCTGCCCCAGGGGGTGCGCCTGGACTCCCTGAGGCTTTGTGGCGGCCTTGTGGGCAGTCGCTAACACTCATCCGTGGTATGTGCGTGCCAGGCACTGCGCCAAGTGCTTTACCTCCGCTATTTTCTTTACTTCTCAAAACAACTTCAGCCCAGCCAGTGTGGCTCAGTGGTTGAGCATCAACCCATGAACCAAGAGGTCACCAGTTCAATTCCCAGTCAGGGCACATGCCCAGGTTGTGGGTTCAATTGCCAGTGGGGGGCGTGCGGGAGGCAGCTGATCAGTGTCTCTCTCATCAATGTTTCTATCTCTCTCCCTCTCCCTTCTCCTCTCTCTAAAACTAATAAAAACATTTTTGAAAAACACAATTTCAGGTTACTACTATCCCTATTTTATAGAGAAGGAGACCAAAGCCCAAAACAGGTAAGTGACCTGCTCAGGGTCACACAGCAAGTACTCACTGAATCTTGTACCCCAGCTGCTGTGACTTGAGGGTAGGTAGCTGTCACAGGGAGGCCTCATGCAGATCACTGTAAGGAGGAGCTCGGCAGCCAGCTCCCAGTCCTTAGAGATGTTCGATGCTGCTCAGCCATCGCTGGGGGACCTACGGCAGCAGCTGAGATTGAAGGTGGCCTGGATGAGGGATGGGGTGACCAGACCTTGGGGCCAGCAGACTTCAACAGAGCGCTGGCTCCCCGGGGTGGCTCTTGGTATGTGGATGTGAGTGGGGCTTGCTGTTTCTGGAAAGCCGGCCCACCATTCATGTACCTCATCCTACCAGCCTTGAGCTTGGACTCAGGCCCAGCGCGAGGGGCTGTGTCAGATCAGGGCTACAGCGGGAACCCCGGTGACTTCCACACACAGCGACCTGCTGGGGAGTCAGGAGCCCAGAGCAGGCCCAGCTGATGACCAGACCCAGGAAGTAGGCAGGTCCCAGGAGACCCAGCCATACTTCGCTTCTGCCTGGTGCCAGCACCTCTGACAGCTCAGGGAGTGTCCTGGGTCTGCAGAACCCAGGCCCCGGAGCTCTGAGACCCGTGTGCATTTTACCCCAGATCTACTCCATCTGGTTCTCATTTATTTACACTTAAGTCATCAAATGCAATTTTGCAAGCGCCGCTCAATAGCCAAGAGGCTTTTCTGCCTAAGCCTCCCTCTGAAAGGAGCCGGGCAGGGCCGGGCCTCAGCCCCAGGGACCAGGAGGCAGCTCTCGGGGTTGGAGGTTGAATTCAGGCCCGGTGCCTCCGCCTCTGCCCCTGGGCCCATCATGGGAGCTGGGATGCCAGAGCCAAGCACAGAGCCTGACACACAGTAGACTCTTCGTAGCCAGGAGAACGTGGGTGGGGTCCAGGCAGAACACAGCGTCTCTGTTTCAAATCGTGAAAGGTCCATGGGAAACACAAAGCAGCCGAAGCTGGGTCCAGAAGTAATTTTTAGTTGTTATAAATAACTCAAACCTGGATTCTTAGCCCAAAGTAGGACCAACAGCCAGCTATTAATAAAAACAAACACCAGCACCTCGGGCCAGAAAGCAAGCCTCCTGGGCAAACCACAGGCCGGCCGCAGAGGCCTTTCGGAAGCACAGCAGCCTGCAGCCCATTGGGTCGGCTCTGGAGACCCTGCTTGCTGGGAACCAGCCGTCCCTGACACAGCCCTGCCGTGGCTGGTGGGGTCCGGCGGCCAGTTTCCGTGAGGGGTGGGCACACTGAGCAGAGAGGGGGAGGAGTCCCAGCTGAGGGCTGCGTGCCCCACCCCAGCATCAGACCTGTGCTCACACAGGGCACTGCAGCGGGTGGTGGGGAACCCTGGCCCAGAGTCATCACCGTGGCCACTGGGATTGGGAGGGAGAGGCGGGAGCAGGGTCCAGGAGAAGCATGTAGACTATGGCTGAAGAGAGGCCTCAGCCCCAGCCAGGGCTATGCCAGGGCGTGGAGGTGAGACAGATGGGTGCTGTGTGAGGGAAAATCAGGAGCCTTGTGGCTGCCTGTATGTGGGAGGGTCAGTGGGAGGGGCTTCACAGACAGCTGGTCCTCGGGCCTGGGTGGGAGCAGAGCAGAGCTGGAGCCAGGTCCCTCTTGTCCTCCTGGGCGCCCTAGTCTCCCTTTCTCCCTCCCACCGCCCGTCCTGCCTGGCTGGGCTGAATGAACGCGTGCTCACTGTGCCTGGGCCCTGGCCTCAGGCTGGGCAGCAGCCCGCAGGAGCGTAGGCCATCTGCCTTTCATCGCAGACCAAACCAGATGATCTGTTTCTGAGGTTCTCCCAGCTCCACCAGCCAAGGGCCCCGAGTCAGGAACCAGCCACAATTCAGCTATCTCTGCCTTCCCAGCACCCTTGTCTGCACTCACCACCACCACCACCACCACGACCACCGGCCATCAGTCCTGGTGGCACAGAGATGCATTTGTGGGTTCAGGGAGGGAGCACATTTACCCAGGGAGGCTGTAGGCAGGGTCCTTCCAGGGGGTGATCTGGCTGGTCCAGGCAGAGCCCACGTAGGACCCTTACAGAGCAGGGGTCTTCTGGGACCTTGCTCCTCATTACGTCCTTCTGTTCTTTTGTTGCCAATTAAAAGGGCTTCCTGAGAGGAGCCTCCTAGAGTCTGCCCAGAACCCATGGGGCCTCCTCTCTGCTTTGTAGATAAGTCCCTGTGCCAAGGAGCTCTGTGCCTTCTGGGAACACTCCGCTGTGGCCGTAAATAAAGATAAGGGACCTTGAGTTGCCAGCAGGGCTCAGAGGAGAGCGCTTTCCTCACCCCAGCTGAGCCCGCCCAGGGACCGACCGTGGCTCATGGAGGAAACAGGCGTGCTCAGTGCACACAGCGGGGGAGCTGTGGAGAGCCCTGCCTGAGCCCTGAGTCCCCAGAAGGAACCGGGACCGTGCTGTGCTCCAGTGGACTGGCCGCGTGTGGTAGTGAGCTTCCTGCCCCTGCTGTGTGCACACACATGTGCGGTTCAGTTCCCCCTGCTGACCTCTGAGCACCCACTCAGCCTGACCCCCTGTTGGGTGCGGAATAGAAAGGAGACTCAGGTCTGTCCTCAGCCGAGGGGCCTGTGTGTGCTCAGGAGCTGGACAGCGAGTCTGAGGCCTGCCTCCCCTCTGACAGCTGGTGGCTCCGGCTCTCGGGGCCCCAGTGCCCTCCTCTGTGCAGGGGGGTCAGTAGCGCAGCCTGTCCCCCTGGGTTGCTGCAGGGCCCACTGAGTTGATGCTCGCGAGGCCCCATTCCTGACCCGTCCGAACGCACGGGGAATGCTAGCTTCGTGTTGTTACTCACAGGCTGACCAGGACACGTGCCTGGTTAGATCTGTTCATGGCGGGGGCAGACCCCCAGAAGCAGACACCACCAGGTGTCGGGGGGAGGTGCCCCCAGCAAAGGCCACACTGGCCCTGGGCCTTTAGGAGCCACCAGGAAGACTTGGTTGAGTAGAAAAGGGTTTCGGAATAATGCCTCCCTGTCCTTCCCCGCTTCCCACCGTCGGCTCCTCTCAGCACGAGCCCCCTTGGCCACTGGAGCTGGAGCAGCGTGGCTTACGGAGTTCAGAGCTCGCCCTCCGCACGCTGACCTTGACCACCTGCCTCGCAGTCAGCCTCACAGGGAGCCGGGTCTCGGTGGGGAAGTGGTCGGTTTCCCGGAGCCCGAGGGGGCCCAGCTGACAGTTCAGTGCAGGCCACTCTGCGGATCCCTTACCTGCTTCCAGGAGTAAAAGATGCCCGTGTTTAAAAGAACCATGTATAAAGCTCCATGCCAGAGGGAGCGTGCATGAGTGTGTGTGCTTGAGTGTGTGTGTGTGCGCACTGGGGGTTGGGCTATTGCCTAGACACAGCCAGTAGCATGTTGCCATTGTGGTTTCATATATTTGCCTGTTAAAGTGACAATGCAGACATGGCACATTAAGGTTTAAGAAGCCCTTCTTTCATTAAACAAACTGACAGTGTAGGGAGCGATGGCTTTGGTAATTGAAACATGCTGTGCTGGCCAAGACCAGAGCTCCATAAAGACTCTTCCCGCCCGTGGCCCCCTTCGTGCCAGCAGCCTCTGGTCACACTGAGTGCCGCCCAGGTCCGTCTCGGGAGTGGGAAAGCCCGCCTGGCAGCCCCCGCCCGGTCTCGGCAGCCAGAGGGCAGGGCCTTTTCAAAACCTCCCCGTTCTCTGGGCTTTTGAAATCAACTTGTGAGGCCAAAAGCCTGGGCTTCGGGGAAAGCGGGGGGAGGGGGGGGGCGGGGGGGCGGGGGGTTGATAGCAGGCTGCCCCGTCCTCCAGCCCCTTCCTAGCTGCAAGGTCTGACGCTGCTGCTGTGAATCTGGGTGTGACTGAAGAGGGAACAGGGATTTGGCTGGCAAGGCTGTGGGGGGGGGGGAGACAGTGTAGGCTGCACTGTCTTGGGGGGAGGGGCAGCAGTAGTATCGGCGAGAGCCCAGATTTGGGAGTCAGACCACCAGGTTTGACTCCTGCCTCTGTGGAACCTTAAACAGGTGGCTTTGCCTCTCTGTACCTCAGTTTCCTTACCTATTAAATGGGGTCACACCTGGACCTGAGTGACAGGGTTGCTGTGAGGATTCGAGGCGCTAATATAGGTAAGATGCCGGCACACAGGAGAGTCAGGATCAGCTGAACGGCAGCCATGGTAACTGAATCCCTCTGCAGTGACCCCGTGGGATATTGTGTAGTGTGTCTGTGGAGTACCGCCGTGGGGTGGATACCGCCGTGGGGTAGAGTCCTGCCGTGTGTAGCTCGGGGAGCCCTCCCCATACAATCTGGGGGAGCTGTTGCACCCTCGCTTCCAGCTCCTCTCCTCTCTTCCTCTCCTGCAGATGTGGACGAGTGTCAGGACAACAATGGTGGCTGCCAGCAGATCTGTGTCAATGCCCTGGGCAGCTACGAGTGTCAGTGCCACAGTGGCTTCTTCCTCAGTGACAACCAGCACACCTGCATCCACCGCTCCAACGGTGAGTCCGCCAAGCTGCCCACACGCCCCACCCACAGCAGCAGGCAGCCAGGGAATGGGCCTCGGCTCGGGGTCAGGCCGGGAGTTTGGTGGTGACCTGAGTGGCTGTTTTGTGCTCTGGTGCTGGTTCTGCATGGGCTCCTCCCAGCGCCTTCCCTCTGCCCGCTCACCAGGCCTGTTGGGATTTCTGGTGTTTTTATTTGGAGACAAAGCGGGGCCACACATGGTACTTGTGACCAGAGAAACTGTCTTCCTTTCTGGGTTGGGGGCTGGCTGTGGAGGGCCCCATCCTCCTGGTCCCCTTCCCCAAGGGGGGCTTGAGGCCCGAACTGGCTGAGGGACCTTCTCTCAGTCTCTGTGAGTCGGGCAACATCCAGGACTATGGGCTGTGTTTCACCGGGTCACCAGCCCGGGGGCAGTCTTCCTGGTCAGGAGCCTGCTGTCCCCTGGAGGCCAGGTGGATGGCAGCTGGCTGGGGCCAGACAAAGGGACCCGGAAGACTCCTGGCCAGCCTGACTGCAGAGGTAGCCTGGGGACAGCCCGGGCTGGGACAGAGCCTGGCCCCTGCTGATCCCAGCAGGCGAAGGTCCTTGGCGGGGGCCAGAGTTTGGGCCCAAAGCAGCAGGGCTGTGAGGCGGGACAGGCTGGCGAGAAGCCAGAACCTGTGTGCTCGGTGCAGAGGGGCTTCCAGACCGAGGGAGCAGCACTTGCAAAGGCAGAGACCTGTGTGCTGAGGATGAAGGCAAGGTCCGGGCCTCTGCAGGCTGGGCTGCAGCGAACGGGCTGCAGGAGGGGCAGGGGCAGGAGCTGGCCCTCCTGGGCCTGGCCGTTCTCAGTGGCCAAGGGAGTAGATGTGCAAGGAGGACATGCCAGCGCCACGATGGGCCTGGAGGAGCCTGGCGGGCCCCCCATGAAGCCCAAAGCCTCAGCTTCCTCACCCACAAAACGGCGATGTGTGCTGATCCTACAGGGTCTTTGGGGGATCGACTGAGATCCCTGGTGTAGAGTCCCAGCGACGCTGAAGCTGAAGCTGACAGAGGCTCCACGTGACACGCAGGGGCCCTGGGCAGGATTTTTATTTGAAAGCGGTTCTTCAGAAAGAAAAAAAAACAAAAACAGTTAAAAAGTACACAGCCCAGGGTCATTAATCAGAGCTACTTCGCCGGCTCCTTAGAATCCTTAGTGTTTGTTTAGGCGGTTTCCTCAAGGACAGCACGGACCGATAATCCCTAGCAAGGCCATGTCCCCAGCAGGACAGAGGCCGGCCTCTCGGTTTCTTGGCCGCTGCTCCCGCCGCCTTGTCCAGATTTCCCCGGCAGCCACGTGGGCGGCTCAGCTTGCCCCTCATAAGACCTCCCAGCTGTGGGGCTCTGAGGTCAGGCTGCCCCAGATGAGGACCCTGGGCCCAAATCAAGTTTTATAAGAAACAGATTTATGGAGGAGAGAGTGAGGGTGGTGGGAGGGGAGGCCTGCTTCCATCAAGGAGGGGTTTATGGGGTGATCGCTCTGAGCAGGCTGTGAAGTTCCCGAGGCCGGGCGGCCTGAGCCCCTTCCTCGGCGAGGCTGTGTGGGCTGGTCCTTTGAAGAATGGCTTTCCCACGGGCAGGACCCCGGGTGAAGTGTAAGCACCAAGCACCGTTGTACGAGGGCTGTCACAAAGCAGACCTCAGCCTCAGCCAGAGAGGTGGGGAGGACGCATGATGAGGTGGCTGTTGCGGGGTCCTGCGCGGACTCTGAGCCGAGCCCGCACAGCAGCGTGGCAAGGTGGAGACAGTATGACTTGGTGACGGGTGAGGAGGCCAGAGACTGTCCCGTTAGGGAACTGCCCCCGGTTACACGGTAGGAAGCTGGTAGTCAGGATTCCAGCCAGGTCACTGGCTGTGATGCGACGAGGATGTAAGGAAAGAAACAGGGTGGAGAAATAGACAGAAACAGGCAGGCGGTGAAGGCCTCTGAGGAAGCCACACGTGAGCTGGAAGCAAATGGCTGGCACCAGTGGCCACAGGAAGGGCTGGGGAGCGTGCCAGGCAGGGAGTGTGCAAAGGCCCTGAGGTGGGCGTGGCCCAGCTGGTGTGACTAGCAGAACGGAGGGTGGGATGGTGGAGCACAGAGAGCCACGGAGCAGGGCCAGGCCCTGCGAAGCTGCTGTACTGAGGCTGGAGTTTGCATTTCGTGCAGAGGGCAGCCCTGGGAAGCTGGGTGAGCAGAGGTGGGGAACGATGCTGGAGGGGAGAGTGGGGGGCTCCTATGGGAACTGGGACGCTTCAGGGACTGGGCCGCTGACTGTGCAGTGGAGCCTCAAGCCACGTGCCTCGCCCACCCTAATGCCTGGGTGGCCAGGTCCAGATTTTCACAGAAGCCAGGGATGGAGATTTAACCGGAATTCAGATATGGGGGCTCAGCCCCAATATACATTAAGCAGCATGGGGATTAAAGAAACCTCTTCCCTCGTTAGGATCTTTGTGTGAATCTCCTAATTTTTAAATCTGAGCAATGAATCCATCTACAAAACAGCAGACTTCCTGGATACCTCAGGAAGGACTAGTGGTAGCATTTCTGGGGTTCCCACAGGCCGCATGGAAGGTCCGAAGAGACAGGTCAAGTGCACGGGATGTGGGCTGACTGCTCGTTAATCCCGGGGGTGGAGGTGGGCCTGGGTGACTGGACTCATTGCCTCTCTCCTGAGCCTCCGTCTGTCGTGACCATTCCTGCAACTGCTGTGATTGTGTCTCAGCCACAGTAATGATGGTTAGCGCGCAGAATCAGGGCGGGCCCGGGCGCTAAGCCCCAGCTTGCTTTGCACCTAGTGGCTTCTGATCCCCATGGCTCCTGAGAGAGCTGATGGGTCCAGAGCTGTTTGGCAATTCAGATTCCTCGTCATCTGACTCTTCCTAAGCCCGTCAGCTCTTCAGAGCCTCCCCTGAGCAGGAGGAGCACACAGGCTGGTTTTGATTAGAGGTGGCTGGATGCATGGGAGAGGTCAGGCAGGGTCAGCCAAGGCCCCTGGCTGAGCAGTCAGGCCACAGGGCTCGGCCCTTCAGAGTGGTCCTACTTCCCAGGCGCCAGCACAAACCCTGGCCCAAAGCATATGGCTCTGGCCAGGCTGGGGTTGGGAGCTTTAGGGTCTCGGCCGTTCTCCCTCTCCACTGGCCACGCGGCCTCTGCGTCACTCCTGCCTCTTCGGGGCTCCTGGTGTGTAAACTGGGACCAGTAAGCCCTCCCAGGGGGTGAGAGATCCTTTCGGGGAAATGTTTGAGCGGTCAGGCGAGTGGCTGCCTGAGGATAGTGACTCACGTAAGCAGCTTCTCCAGAACTCAGGCCGTTCTCCTGTCCTGGCGCTGGGTGGGAGGGGACCCGGACCTCTTGGCATCTGTGGCTCGTCTCCCTCTGCTCAGGGCTTCCAGGCACCGGTTCTGGCCCATCACAGCCCACACTTGCCTCCTGCTCAGCCCCTGACACAGCAAACAATGCAGTCCCTCTCCGGTCCACAGCCGGGCGGCCAGGCCAGGCCAGTCCCAGGCTCCACTGCCCCTCATTGTGGTCATATGCTGGGGGCCTCTCCGGTCCCACAGTGGACAGGCCACCAAGGAGGCAGCACCTTCAAGCTGCCTCCCTCTCACATGCTGCTCTTTTCTCTGAAACTCCTGTCATGTCCATGCACTCCGTGTGGCGTGGCGTGGTGCTGGGTGGTCAGCGTGGGGGCTGAGCAGCAGCCTATTCAGGTCAGAGGGAACCGGTTCTGCCTGGGGGCTGTGAAGAGGGGGCCAAGCAGCCCTGAGAGCAGGGGGCCTCTTAGGTGGCCAGCTGAGCATGGCCTGGGACTCTGTGGGGATTGGGTGGCTGGGTGTTGTGGGGAGGAGAGGGTGAGACGCCGGTTAATCCAGTGGGACCAGGCCTTGGTTGAAAGTAATGGACTGAAGGCAGCTGACCTTGGAAGCCAAGTTGGAGTAGGGCTCTGAACAGAGAGGCAGAACCCGCAGGCAGCCGTGCAGTGACACCCACGCAGCCACAGCACGCCCCTGGCCCTTGGGGCTGAGCCCACTGCTCAAAGCGCACCCCATCTTGGGACTGGCTGGGGGAGCTCCTTGGCAAAGGTCACTGGGGAGTTTGGGGACGCAGGCCCCTGGGATGGGTCAGAGCAGAGAGCCAGTGGGTCCCAGGATGTTGCCCTCTCTGCCCTGTCTCTGCCCTTGTCCTGGGCCCTCCCTACTCTCCTCCAGCCTGGTCCTGGGCCTTCCTCTGGACTTTGTCTTCCATCGGCTGCTCCTGCTCCCACTTGCCCTTGGCCTGCAGGCAGACAAGACACCACCCTGGCCTCCCCCGCCTTAGCTACCAGATGCCCCCATAGGCCACCCCCACTCTTCTCAGCTCGCAGGTCTTTACACTCCTGACCACCTGGATGTCCGCAGCTTCCCTGGGGAATGTTTCAGGTGAGCTGTCATCCCCGTCGCAGGAAGGAAAACCTAGCGGGGCCACCCTGAGGGGCAGTATCCAGATGGGAGACCAGTTTCTGAGGACACAGCCAGTTCTGCTCCACCCACCGCCAGGCTCGAATGAACCAGCCCGTAGACAGAGACCCACAGGCCCTCCCGAACTGCCCCAGCCACATGGGACTTAGGATCCTGCCAGTACGCCTGGCGGGTGGGCGCCCCCGCGTGGCTCCTACAGGGCCAGGGACATCCCCTGCCCCCTGCTTTCCGTCATCAGCTGTGGGTGCTGGGGCCCTTGTGGGTGTATGTGGCTGGAAACTCTGTTTTCAATGGGGTGAACTGGTGTGGCCACGCCCCAACCTCAGGGCTGCCCTCCAGCTGCTCCTCAGGGTGGGCGGGCCAGGCTGGAGGTGAGGGTCTCGGGGTGTGCAGGTTCCCCTCGCCCCTGCCTGCTGCAGACCAGGTGGGCGGGAGAATAAACAGCTCACCCACCGAGCGGGAAGATTCATGTGCTGGGGAGAGGGCCTGTCCTGGACCTACAGCCGGAACGGCCCTCGAGGCGGGGACAATA